TTGCTTCACATTCTGTTCAGCTCGCATTGAGGGCGCTGTTCTTAGGGTCAAAGGACATCCAGACTCATCACATATCGCCATAATTTTCTTGACGAAACTGGTTTTCATTTGAGAACCGCTATAGCTACAATTTGTTCTTATCGTTGAGTGACTGGTGATCACAAAATGACAGAGAATATTTTCTTGTTTGTGCCCAACATTATAGGTACGTAACGTTTTGTATCCATTATGAATTCAAGGTTCAACGCTATGTTTAATAACAACAAGCCGAGGACATATTGGGAATATGACTATGTTTTTAACAATATTTTCAATGTCCGTTCTATCTATTAATATAAAACAATAACAAAATTTACTAAAAATGCCGTGAAATCAATACAGAAACATGTTACCTTGATACAAAGAGATTAGCGAAAAACTCAAATGCATGTACATGTACTACAACATGTAGTAACAAATAGCACGTATAAATCAACTGAAAATGATTTATTTCCTTTCAAGGCCGCTGATTCATATACAAATAAAATAAATTAACATACATACATTTAGTATAACTGAAGAACAGACTTTCTTGCACTGAAAAGCTTTATATATGTAAATACATTAGTTAGAAATAAAAACAAGCTAGACTCTGAGAGAATAAAAATGCCTGCAAGGATTTAGAGGGGAAATGTTGGACATTCAAGAAAAACAAATTATAGAAAATCAACTTTAAAGTCACATATCTTGTATCAGTATTTGCAGTGTGTCTCTTGATGAGATCAATTCTACTTGCTCTATTTCCAGGCTATGCCCGTATCATCTTGAATATCATTTCATTTTGGTACATGAAAACAGACTATGTTACAGCGTTTTTTTGTTATATGCTGAGTGCATTTCTTGATGCATTTGATGGACATGCTGCCAGGATGCTTGGGCAAGGTAAGTTTATTTTACGTAAAGCAGTGTTTGAAATTTGTTAAAATGTTTTACCAGACAACAGGGCAGGTAACTTTAAAAGTTTCCGTATTCTTTTGGTTTTATCGTACACCTTATTCATCTCTTTGGAGTCGCATTTTACTTTTTGCCTCTTTGCTGGAGGCTAGATTCCTAAAAACCGACTCAGCATTTTTAAAGTATAGTATAAAAACACCGAGCATGTCAAGTCCAGCTCTGAAATGGTCGGGTCAACTGGATCTTTTGAATATGGTGAGCGTTTGAATTATGCATAGTGTGAGAGTTCACTGAAATCAGGCATAGTGTGAGAAGAGTTTGCTAAATCACACATCGTTCATGGATTTATTGTTGTTTATTCCTGTTTTACATGTTGCATGTGTCAAAACCATCGCATCAGACCTCTAGGTACATAATTTTGACAGCAATTATACATCCATAGACATCTTGTGATTTTTCTAAAAAGTAATTTTTTTTAATTTTCTCATAAAATCTAACCGACCACAGGGCTAGGAACTTGAAATTTTCGCCAGCCCGACTGAATAATTACTCGTGCCGGGCGTAGGAGTGGGCAGTAATTTCAAACACTGCGTAAAGCACAGTTCAGGTTTTCTCTAACCTATCGTTTAGATTCATGCTTTTACATTGTCCAGTTATTGTATTTGTGCTTTCTTGTATTCGTACAATACATTACATATTTCTGTAGTAGTTCTTAGAACATATAATTTGATTTTTTATTGGATGATAGAATGAAATAGGTGATTATAAAACGTTAGTGAGTTAGAAGAGGTGAAGGATTCATTGATGATGCCCATTTATTTGTTTTTATGCTTGCCCTGTCATTGAGAGAAAGGTATACAGGCAGCACCCAATAAATCACAGGCAACACCTAATATACACCAGGCAACATCCAATACACCACAGGCAGTGACCAATACACCACAGGCAGTGACCAATACACCACAGGCAGTGACCAATACACCACAGACAACACCCATTTACACCACATACAACTTAACACAGATTTTGTAAGTTGTAAACATTATATAAAAAAGACAAAAACATGGACAAGCATGTACTGTGGATTAAAAATTGATCAATGATTTTGTGTTTAACCTCAGGTACAAAGTTCGGTGCTATGTTGGACCAGCTAACAGATCGTACAGCCACCATGTGTTTGATGGTAGTCTTGTCATATTTCTATCCACAATGGATGTTTTTTTTTCAAATGTCAATGTCTATTGACATTGTTAGTCACTGGATGCATTTGCATAGGTGAGTACTTTGATCAGACACTGTCTTTCAGTGTTCTACAAATCCTTCAATCATTTTCAGACTACCGTGTACAAAGCCTAGCTTTGTGGTTAGTGTGTGTGTGTGTGTGTGTGTCTGTGTGTGTGTCTGTCTGTGGAAACATGATACATTCATACATGTATATATTTCATTGTTATCTCAAGACACACTCAGATTTCCATGAAACATTGTAGATACATGTAGATGCTATAAGATAATGCGCAGACCTGGTTAGTCCCTGGTTGAAATCCATGAATGTTAAATACAATGGCCCCTCGCTAAGTCGCGAGTGTCAAGATCCAAGCAAAAACCTTGACTTATCGGGGGTTGCGACTTACCAAGGGGCCTCGTGAAAGGGGGGTCAAGCATTGAAAACATATACACAAAGCACAATGAACAATAGCAAAAACAAAGCACATAGCAAAAACTTTGCTATTGATTGAGACTTCGTGTATATAGTGTCTTCTTTGCCAGAACCACCCCCAACTGGCCTCAAATTCAAAGTGGTTGCCAGAGAATGGAGTTCCGGAAGACCGTTCTTGAAGAAACCATACGTAAACAGCTTTATCTATGTCATCGTTGTCGCATGATTTCACACGTTTTCTGTTCAGTCCCGCCTCTTGGTCAATTTCGAAAACAAATTTCCTCAGCTTTCCTTCATTTTTTACCCTCTCACAAGTAGTAGGTTCACCAGCTGCTAGATATGTGCAACCCTTGACTTGGTTTCACCTTTTCTAGATATGGTCGATCGTTGCGAGTTTATGGCGTATGGACAGACTGGACAGCTTTAGTTGCTCAGTTTAGAAATAGAGATCAGAATGATGAATTCAGCTCATTGTAGCGAGTTTTATAGAGGTACCGGTATACCAAAGGGGGTCCGGCCAAAAAAGACGTACAGTTGCTACTCAACACCCCTGTTGACACCTTGCGTAAGGCTGCCATTGTATCTTAGTAATTGACGGACAGTAGGTGTGAAGTTGTCTCTTCAACAGTTAGTTAAATACACTATGCAACGAAACATTAGACTTTGTACTTCAAAACTGCGTCAAAACACAATAGACATTTTGGGAGCCATCCAAGTACTCGCGACTTGGCCTTTGTTTTCCAGTTGATTTTCTCAAAACCACTCAACAGATGTCAATAAAACTTGGTACCTAGGTACTCTTGGATAGTCAGACCTGATTAGTGTTCCAATCTGCGCATAAAAATTGCCCAGTTTACATAAATTAGCCAATTATTCGTTGTTTGGCTGATATCAACTACTCAAATTGGTACAGCCATGTGCTCAGAAGACCTTAATTTCAGACTGAAATTCATGTATGATAATTATTACCTATTTCGTGCAATAATTAGAAAACACAATTGTTAATTAAATATATCTTGTGTCTTCTGTTAATATTATCAACTTCAAAAATGTGAATCAGATTACTTTCATGTTTTTTTCAAAGTCTTAAGGCAACAGACTAAACTTAAATTGTTGATCAATTTTAATTTCACTATTTTGATATTAGATCAAATTCACACGAATTTTCCAATGAACTTTTGAATTCTATTATAATTTTTGAAGTTCATGTGGATTTAATTTAGCAGATTTCACTTATCAGTGTAAATATGAAATTTATATCTAGGTGAATTATTATTAATGTGTTTACAGTAATTACAGTAGTACAGTGTTTGCAATACCCTCAACATAGAAGTGTGCTTTCTATATAAGCATTCTTTGATTTCTCTCTATGTCTGCACCTGTTCTTCTGCTACACTCAAATACAATGTACATAAGTGAAGACTGTTAATTTTGGATTCCTTCGACTCTCATACTTTAATTTCCCAATGTGGTACAGACATACATCAAAACTTATATACACACATCAAATATGGCTGACTGGCAGCCATTTTGTATGTTTGAAACTTGGCACATCTGTACATACAGTTTTGAATTTACCTCTAAATATTGGCAATGACATTGTTCATTAGTAGTCGTATGTGAATCATGTTTCTATTTATTTACAGTGCGAGTGTACAGGGAGTTTCTAATCACAAGTTAATTGATCCAGCTGGCAATCCAATACTACGTATTTATTATACATCTCGAGTAAGTTCATTTTCTTATTTTCAATTTACATCCAAACATATTTATGTACTCTAAACCACTTTATGTTCACAGGAGGAAAGATTTTGTAAATTTTGAGAGTCAGTGAAGAATATGATTATATAATTATGTAGCTGGGGTCCATTGATACCAATTGTCAGCGACTTTCACAAAGTTTTCACAATTGCCATAAAAAGTTATCAAATTGTGAAAATTCATAGTACTGTGAAATTAGCGGCTTACACATCATTTGTAACTGATACACCGCAGAAAAGTCTGTTTTTTTTTTAGTTCACTTAAATGCCTGCATTATTTTTATTACAATTTCAATCAGAACAGCCCCCAAAAAGGGCTGTTAAAATGACAGTCATCATTCAGTATGCAATTTGTTTGTTCACAAACAATGAGGTCATGTGCCAGGTCACATCATACATCAAGATTGCATCCTATAAAGTATTAAAGCAATGTCTTTTTAA